CCCGTTTCGGTTTCCGCGATAGGGAGCTGTTCGCCCTACTTCCACTCCTTCCCGTGCTCCGACTTCTTGCTCGTGCGCAAAAGTCTCCCGACTTCCGCCTAGGGTAGTAATTGGTTGTAGCAAACAATTAAAAAGCAGTTTATGTCAGTTAAAGGCAGTAGAAAAGCACGTGAAATGCATACTGTGATATCTTTTGGCTTAAATTGACTATTAAACTATAAATGATGAAGTGAAATTGTTCATAGTGGATGAAGTGCCATGATTTGAGCAACGACTTTGGCTTAGGCGTTGCTTTGACGCTGAATATGCGTGGCGCGTTCCTGAAAAGGAAAAATGAAGTTGTGCTAAGGTCTTACTCAACAGTAAACAGTATGAGTACGATGCTGTTGACGTACTTCTCCCTCTTTATTGAAGAGTATGGTCTGGACGGAGTTTCCGGAGCCAAATGAGTCCTCACCATCATAGACCAGCTGATCAGGAGGCGATGCAACCCCTTGGTTACGTGCAAAGATCTGAATAGTAGATTATCGATTAGTAGCTTCATTACGCTTTTGCTCATCGACCTACCTTGACACTTTTACCAGCACGCAAGACAAAGTCCTTTGGGAGGGTGTACACGATCTCGCGCTTTCCGTCGATGCGACGCTTCAGCTTCCATTCGCCGATCGACTATAACAAAACAGTAGAGTAACGAAGCGCAATTGGCTCGGGAGTGTGTGGAAAAGTAAGAGTCGGAAATCGGAAGACGGAACAGCTTTGCATTTGGAACTCACCTCATCTTTAGCGCGATGAGTGTTTTGCAAAACGATGAATTTGCCATCTGGTGAAGCTTCCTAAATAAAGCGGATTCAGAAACTGTCTCAGTTTAACAAGTAGTACATCAAGGGTTACAAATCTCTTGGGAATACTGACATGGATGGACACATTTCCTTTAGCCGACCGCTGGAATGACTGACGTGAAGCGGTCTCACCCTTGACGACTCTCATCGTTTCTGAACACAAGAGGATCATTTGGCACTACTACGGGGGATACGGGCAACAGGATCGGTTTTTTGTAGTCAATTCGCCGCTTGGCATGATTATAATGCTAGTTCATTTCTTGCTGTAATTCTTAGTCGCTGCTGCTACATTCCTTCGCGCGCGGCGTCTCTCGCCGCGACGCGACTATTCCGATCCAACTGCACCACATCCCTACTACGATAGCGCTTCGGGGAATACTGTGAGATTAGAGCTTACCGGTATCCATTTCTTGTGAAATAGCATGAGTCTTGACGACCTGCTCAACAAGTTGTTTGAGACCGGCACGATTTTCTTCACCTTCCAGCATCTTACGATAGATGGCGATTTCTGCATCTAACGTCTAAACAGAGACCAGATCTCTTTAGGTGTTATGTCACACTTGTCACCTCGGAGGCATTCGATCATCAACTAACCTGTTTGGTGTCCAGAAGCATTTGAAGCTCAACCATAAGGGCTTGACATTCCTCACGCATCTTACGGATCTGGGCATCACGCTCGTTAAGAGCCGATTCGTAGGAGCGTTGATCATCCTCCAGTTGGTAGTTGAGCTCTTGAATCTGCTTCTCCAGCAGTGAATTCTGAAAAGAATCACTATGATTCACGAGGAGTGGTCAAACTACCATGAGAGGGCTCACCCTGCTCTCCAGATCGGCAAGTTTTCCACGAAGATCGCTCAACTGGGTACGAAGACGTTTCACCTCTTCCTTCGCATAGCCGTGCTCCATACTCTGAACAGGCACCCCGTAAGCGTTCAGCGAACAGAACGGCAAGCCAATTCACTCACCTGTCTGGCGCTTTGAGTTTGAATTTCCTGTACTTTCAAACGGTACCAGGATTCCATGTCAGTACGATGAACGTTGGTAATCTGAAGAGATCAATATCCATCTTATGCATGGTTGAACAGAGCGATGACGAACGGGTTTGTTCAGGGTGGTGACAGATTTACGACGATAAACCCATGAAAGTTCCACCGAGAGTATTATGAGTTCAACGAACGTTCTCCTTTTTCATGGCGCTGATCAAAATTTTTCGGAAGATTTAGCGCTCTAATGCGAATCCACGCCTCATCACACTACATTACCCTGCCAAGGGAGGGTAGGGTTATTCAAGGCCGTGTTGACAGAAAGGTTACCTAGCTGGAAAGGACAACTTTACCTGGTCATATTCCTCACGAATATCACGAATAGCTGATGAAAGCTCATTCTTGAAGAATTCACGATTCTCCGGTGTAGTATCACGAGATGCCAGTGTCTGAAACAGATAGTATTAGTGAACAGTAATGTAACCCCTTGAGCATCAGCTTCAGTACCTGCAGCTCCTTGATTTCGTTATCGTGCACACGGCGAAGGAAGTCGATCTCTTCGAGTAGCGTCTGGACCTGATTCTGATAGTCGATACGGTTCAGGGTTTCCTGGTCGAGATCCTAAATATGGGACAGATTAGGTACTGTCCTGAGCCTCGGTCCCCCATGGGCGCTTACCGTACGAGCACGTTGCAGCTCAGACATGAGGCGTTGGTTCTCCGCCTTGATACGCTTCACTTCATCCTCAAGCTGAGCGATGCGACGCTTCAGAAGAGCAATTTCTGCCTGAAGGGGTGTTGATCATACAATTTGCACTTACTACTTGTTATGTATACCAGTTCTCACAAATCGATTATATTCGACCTCATCTCAGACGGTTAAACGCGACCCTCATGCTCTCCCAGTAAATCAATAACTGAGGAACGTTCCCTTTTGCCTCCCACTGGGAATGAATCATAAGTAACCTTCGTTTTTTGATCCCAACCCATCAGACTGCTCAGGACTGTCGAAAAGAGGACAGTCTTATGGTGGAACTGAACCTATGCCATCACAGGAAAAGATAGTTTACCAGCACCAGCACCTTCCACTCCTAGCCTCTCGTACTACAGAAAGTTACTGTACCTCAAGATTTGAAAGATGTACAAGAAGGTCATCAATTTTTGCACGATCACCCTCACGTCCACGCACTGCTTCTTCATACCTGAAAACATTCATGTAGAAGATTGCGTATGGCCAAATCTGTTACTTGAAAGTAAATGAACTGTAAGAGCAAAGAGTGCAGTGGAGCGAACTCATTGGGGGTAGATTCAACCTGAGCTATCAGCGCTTCTGCTTTTGTGCTCAACAGCTCTGATGAGAAACTCGTTTTAGTTGACATGGAAGTACCGAGTTGGGCCCGACTGGTTCATACTCATGCGCGGCTGCTAGACTAATCGATCGATAAGCATTCAAGCCCTAGGCATCCTCCTTTCGCCCACGTATATCTGTAGCTACAGGCCGGTGAACCAGTTGTATAAGTCGTAGCCAATGAGTAATTGTGATGGCTATGAGCCCTACTCAAACAGCGCTACGCTTTGATCCGGTTCCGAGGTGAAACTATACTGTAGTATTAGCATGGCGTTACTGCATGGTCTACATCTGCTGATATGCCAGTACCAAAGTCACACTTCCCTATAATTTCACAAAAGTGTCCAATGAATAATTGCTGTGCTTAAGGATATGAAATTGATTGGCCAAGTAGGCAGTACTCACGACTTTCCTCGTCAATGCTGCTACAGTAGCAGCTTGTTCATAGGAATCTGAGGCGCGCGGTAAAGCCTAGCTGGGACAACAATAACGGGCTACCAGTAATGACGGGTGACAGGCAATGGGGACCGGTTAGTTCAATTGTGGTGATCTATACAACTACTGTACTCGGATTCCGTAATTATAGGTTGTACCTCTAAAAAGTAGACAGGCTACTACTGCGAGGATGTAATTACAATCTGGGTTCATAAGTAAGGTATATACCAGACCCCTTTCAGGGAGGCTTATGAGGGTGGCTTATCAAGCCGGTGACTTTTATATGAAAGGCATCTTCAAGGGCTTGGTCGCACTTCAGCCTGCCCTAGAATTGTCACTGTCCAAACATGAATCAAATTTCACACAATCATGAACGTATGCTGGCGCTTCACTGTAGCAACGCGTTGAGTAAACATCCACCACAGTGGCGATGAGTACGGTAATCTTCCTAACGCGACCCATCGCCGATCAAAGAAAAAAGTCAACAGCATTGAGGCGGAAACATTTCATGAATGCATCAGGTCCTGATCTGTCAGGTAAAAGAGGTCAACATTTGAGAGTTTGAGAGGTGTTTTTTCGTGGAATAACTGGTATTCAAGTGAGTAAGTAAGTGGGTCAATGATGCAGCGCTCACTTGCGTCTGAGTTCAGCCAGTTCATCCTGCATCTTCTTGATCTGCTGCTCTAGTTCTTTTCGTTGTCGGTTAGTCTCTTCGATGAGCTTTTGAGCATCCTTCAAAGCAGAACGGTGAGGCGGTACTTTACAAGTTTAACTTTGATAGGTAATTTGAAACAGTACGTACCGCTAGTTCGCCCTCGTACATGTTGCGGATGTTATGAGTATCTTTACCCCATTTGCTGCGAAGTAGGTCCAAATCGGTGGCCAGCTTTCGGTTTTGAGCCTCCAGGAAACGAACCTGACAAGTGTCGTTTCAAGATCAGAAGCTCTGGAATCCGTCCCGAGTTTCAGGCTACCTTACCTTCTCAATATAACTTGCTAGTCGGTCATTCAGATCGCTCATTTCCTTCTTTTCTCGTTCGCGTGAGTCACGGATCGTACTAGCCGCATTCTGACCAAATGGTGATAGTCCTGATCCGGCGCCTGATCGCATTTCGGTGACGATTTTCAGCATACGATCTTGTGCTGAAACAAGTACGGTAGACATCTGTCCAAGTACTGCCAGAAAGCCGGAAGAATCTTGACTTACAAACGACATTTCCAGCTTGTCGCCCTCCCAGTGGTGCACGTCCGCCTGGCTGGGTAGTGCTGTATGACATCGCTGAAAATGTTACAACATTAGTGAAGCCACTTGATAGAGCTCATGAATGGTTTGGAGACAGAGCCAAGAGCAAAAGGGCTAATGTGTGCAGCTGGGAATTCGACACTGATGCTTTGAAGATGAAACCGGGTGGGTGCGTCGTCGGTGGTTGTGGTGGGTGACGGTGATGGCGGGGTGGCGGTGGAGGAGGAGGAGGAGACAGACCGACTGAACGAGTGGCGCCGTTTGCTATTCAGATTAGAATTTCGGACTGATTCGCTCTCGCAGCTTCTCCCCCGCATTTACCCCAGAAAAACTTAGGTGGTGGTTGAGAGCAAAGAACTCAACTAGTTCGATTCACATACCACACGGATACAATGCACTTGTGTAAAAGTGCAAGTAAGCATACTAGTAACGATAAGACTTTTGCCATGCCAACTGCCAATATGAATAGGGGCTTGAAGCTACACTTTTTTGGTTTATGCAGATGTATTGAAAAGTCTTGAATATCTTATTCACGTTTCTCCCCATAGAGAAGGAAGTATACGGTAACTATAAAACGGTAAAAAAAGATGTAGTGCTCTAGAACCTCCATCACCAGGAACTTCGAACAGAAGTCCTAAAGCACGACGGCCTGAGCAAGAGAAGGAGCTGAATTCCAGCTGCTCTTGTTAACAATGAGCAGGAGCAGCTAACCTCGGTGAAAGGGAACTTTGCATTGCACTGCTCCCCGAGCTAGCCCACAAGATGGATCTACTGTTAGATCAATACCCATCTTAATCACTACTCCATCGAAGCAGTGGATGTACGGTCAACCGGATCGAGCTTTCCTAATTAATAACCGATCATTAGCTACGGTCCATATCACTGAGTGATACTAGTAGTAGGGCGGATTTGGAACTGCCTCCAACAGTACCGGTGGAACAAACTGGCTTACTAGCTGGTATTCAAGGGTTTCATTGAAGTTGAAGTACCCTATTCATCCCCAAGGAGGTCATTAGCCCCTGAAGAGTGTAACTTCTATGAGTTTCTGCCTTGAGATAGTAACAAACGGCTAATTCTCACAAAATAGTCAGTTTTTCAGAAATAGAAAGACATAGAAAATTTTTTAGACATAGAAATTAAATCCATAAAGAAAATTGGTGGTTGGCACGAACATGGAACGAAACGCTTGACGATTATGGTCATACACCATCATCGTCTCGTCTCACTCAGTCGGGGGATTTGCAGGTGTCACTGAGGCGGTCGAGGTGACAATGCGTCGTAACCAGAATTCTCGACCTCCAACCCAATCGGTATACTCGATTTCATTGCCGAATATCAAAAGCCAAAGGACAATGAAATCGATTTTTTCGTGAACGTTCGGCCCTTGAGTTCCTCTTGTGCGAGCAAACGGTTTTTGTAGGTCTATGCATGCCACTAGAAGGACTCTTACACAGTAGGGGATCGAGTGGATGATTCTTAAAAGCCGAAAAGTGATTCCTGGCTTTGTATTCGAAAAGTTGTACGATTTTACTCGTACCCAACCCGTGCACTAGGCTCCCTATAGACAATCAATAATCGTTCTTCTGCTTGCCAAGGTTGTTGTAGACAAAGTGCACATTCCATTTTGGAATTTATAGCCTAATAAAGTTTCTCGAAAGAATAAAATGGATCGATCAGATTGAGGGTGGAGGTGGAGGTCAACACTAATTCGGGGTGA